TTTACAATCGCTTTTTCGGTATCCTTATCCTACGCACCCCCCTTCCTTCCCCGCCTATCCTGCGCTGCGCTTCCCTCGCCGGATTTGGAGCTCAGATCTCTCTCTCCCTCAGACGCCCACTGACTGACACACCCACCCAATACTCTTGTAATTACTTTACAAGCATCCACTTAGCTTTTCCCTCTCTTTCAGGTACGCTCTCTCTCTCTCTGCCGATCTGTCTTCGCTTTACTTTTTTATTTTCTTATTTTTAATTTTGTTTTGGTTGATCTCCATGTTTGATCACTGATTGATTACATACTAGATAGATAGATAGATGGATAGATAGGGGTTTAAATAAAATAATGGAAATGGGTTCTCAAGGTCAGCGACTATGAATTGTTCAGTCATTGGTATTAGTTTTTAGTAACTGGATTATTAATTCCTCAATTTTGCATTTCTACAATCCACCTTGCCACTTGCTCTCTTCGTTTCGTTTGCATTTTATGCTTTGCTGGTTTTAAATTTCAATCTCTGCATATCAATCATAGTAGCAGTTTTTATTTAATTCACTCAAAAGGATCTTTTTCTTTTTTGTGGTTGTGTGTGTGTGTAAAGAATCATGAGCTGCTTCGGCTGTTGTGAAGATGATGATATGCATAAAGCGACCGACCATGGAGGTCCATACATGGTCAAAAACCCAGCAGGTAATCTACTGTGCTATGCTATAGTCGAGTCGACCTGTTGTTGTGTTGCATGATTGCATCTAGGTTGATATATTTCAACTAACTATTATTTGATAGTTTCTTTTGCTTCATTTCTTCTTGTGTCTGTTTGTTTCTGTCACCGATTTCATCAATTCAACTGAGTCGAATTTCATCACACAGGAAATGAGGGAAGCCATCACGCCTCAGGAACTGCACCTAGGGGTGCTCAAGCTGTAAAGGTCCAGCCTATTGAAGTTCCTACTATACCAATAGACGAACTAAAGGAAATTACTGATGGCTTTGGGACAAGTGCTTTGATTGGAGAAGGTTCATATGGAAGAGTATACTATGGCGTACTCAAAAGTGGGCAGCATGCAGCAATCAAGAAGTTAGATGCCAGCAAACAACCTGATGACGAATTTCTGGCGCAGGTTTAGACAAGAGAATCTGTTGATTGTTATTGTTATTGCCATATTCAAACTAATTAATTAAAATTCATTCCTAACTTGATGAATAACTGATACAGGTTTCTATGGTATCAAGGCTGAAACATGACAATTTTGTTCAATTGCTTGGTTATTGTGTTGATGGGAGTTCACGTGTTCTTGCCTATGAGTTTGCATCTAATGGATCTCTTCATGATATTCTACATGGTATGTGAGAGTAAGATCAAGGTGAAAGCTTAATGATAGGATTGAGATTGATGTTTCTTGCTGCACAATCTTGTTTGATGCATTGTTTATGTGAGGAAATTAACTATGTTGTTTTGCATTATCTAAACTTCATTCTCGTTAAAACAGTTTCTTGCAGTTAGACTGTACTACTTGAGATGAGAGCTGTTGTCTTTGCTGTTTCTGGAAAATATAGTGTTCAACCTGATTATTTTTCTAATGCAGGAAGGAAAGGTGTTAAAGGAGCACAGCCTGGTCCAGTTTTGTCATGGGCACAGCGTGTTAAAATTGCTGTGGGTGCTGCAAAAGGGCTCGAGTATTTGCACGAAAAGGCTGATCCCCACATCATTCATCGCGACATTAAGTCTAGCAATGTGCTAATATTTGATGACGATGTTGCTAAGATTGCGGACTTTGATTTGTCCAATCAAGCTCCTGATAATGCAGCACGTCTTCACTCCACTCGTGTGCTAGGAACTTTTGGTTATCATGCCCCTGAGTAAGCTTTTAATTGGTTCTTCAATGATTGCATTTAGCAACTATGTTGTGCATTTGCTCTATTATAAACCTGAAATGAAACAATGCTCTTTTTTTATTGTTGCGAATCCTTTGGTGAAGAAATTAAAATTTGTAATTTTACAATGACCTACCCCAATTCTAAAGGCGGTGTAATTAGTGTTTCATGTTTCTTTGGGAAGATTTAGATTTTTCTTCGTTTCTTTGTTTCCCAGTAATCAACCCGAGCATCAGTTTAATGTATTAATTATTCCTACTTAAAAAAGTTTTTACCATAGTGCATTTCTTCAGCACTAATATATTCAGTAATTTTGTTTGTGGCTGTAGATATGCAATGACTGGACAGTTGAATGCCAAGAGTGATGTTTACAGTTTTGGTGTTGTTCTGCTTGAACTTTTGACTGGAAGAAAACCCGTTGATCATACATTACCAAGGGGACAGCAGAGTCTAGTAACATGGGTACCATATCTGTGCTCTTTATTCTATATTCATAGCACCTGCAATCTGTTTTACGATTTGTAGACATGAGAATATGTTTCTTGTTAATGAAGCTGATTTTTAAAGTATTGGGATGTGTTAGGCTACACCAAAACTCAGTGAAGACAAAGTTAGGCAGTGCATTGATTCAAGACTAGGAGGAGAATACCCACCAAAGGCGGTTGCAAAGGTATTCACTGGATCATAATACATTCATATATGTTGTATGTACACATATCTACCTACATGCATACACCCACAAACACGTAATTAATGGTAACTTATTTTTCTATTTGAACAAGGGTGAAGTGCTAAACCGGCATCTCTGTTATTTTTTCCCATGCATTTGTACATAGCATACCACATTATACCTAGGACTGAAGACTGATGATGCGATCAAACATCTAAAACTGAAATGCTTTTGTGTCTTGATTATAGATGGCTGCAGTTGCTGCCTTGTGTGTGCAATATGAGGCTGATTTCCGCCCAAACATGAGCATTGTTGTCAAAGCTCTCCAACCCCTGTTAAACGCTCGGCAGCATGGACCCGCAGGGGAAGTACCAAACTTGTGAAAATCTCTCTCTCTCTCTCTCTCTCTCTCTCTCTCTCTCTCTCTCTCTCTGTTCTGCCTCTGAAGATGTGTCATGTGTGCATGCATGAGTCATTCAGCATGCAAATTGTAACAAGGGGATTGTTTTGAGGGTGGTGGTATATTGTTTGCACGGTGTTCTAAATGCTTCATTTTCATTTTCGAATAGAAATGTACTATATTGCTTCATTATTTGCGGTGTATTTGGTTTGTTCATAATGCAAGGGGCATTTTCTCCAAGTGACTGGACTGTTATTTTTCTTTGAATGTTTTGCTTAATCACGGTCCAATATTATTGAGAATTCAATTATTTCGGTTACATAAAAATTATTGACAAATTTATGTGTGGTCAATAATTCAAAGCGTGATACTTTGACTAGATACAATTCATGGGTCCTATGCAAGAATTAGAATACACGTGGCCAGTGACTCAACATGTTAGAACATGTGCTACAACAACCAAGTAAACACAAAATAAAATGAACAAAAATTGGTAACAGAGTGATTGGATGTGTTGATGCAAAACTGGACGGTTTGTTGTGAGGTGCAGTCGGAGTTTGCAAATGATAACGAGTAAACAAGTTCCTTCTCTATTTGGTTGACATCTGTCCATTTACTTACTTAACCCCCAATCTAACACTGTTAACTTGAATAAATATATTGTTGTTTGGAAATGGAAAAATTAACCAAGAACCAGAAAGCCACCCAAACTCCCCCGATAATCACCCACAACGTTAGAGAGAAATGAGGCAATTGATCCTTGGCCGATGATGAGGAGTAGGTTGGGTTGCCGGTGAGGTGGTTGTCGGGGTTGGGTTGGGTGTTTGGTACTTTGGTTGTTGCGGCTATGGTGGTGGCTGTTGGCTTTTTGATTCCATTAAAAACACAAAAAGAAAAACTTATGCACGCATATCACACTGTTATTGGTAGAAAATGTAGAAAATGTAAGAAAGAAAAACTTCCACCTTTTTTTAAATAAAAGTCATTCTATAAAGATGCCCTTATCTTGACGTTTAAGGAATAAAAAGTAGCGTGGTGGTGCATACTCGTTTTTCCTAGCTGCCATTCTATTTGTTTCTCCGCTTATGAGCTGATTAGATGAGACATATACGTTTGACGATGTGTACCACTCCAATGGGCTCGCTAGTTGGTGGGTGGGTGGGGGAGGTCGGTGCACGTCAAAACCCATTCACTTATCATTAACGCTGTTTTTTCTTTTTCGTTTTCTTTGTAATGTTATCTATCTACACTTTAATAATTGATATTTCTCCGTGATGTGGGCGCAACAGTCGGTATAAACATTTTGCGAATTGAAACAAAATGCTTTCATCAACTTCTGTACACATGTTATATTGTTGTCGGCAAGAATATAGAAATTCTTACTTACATGGTAAGGTAAAAAGGGAAGTATTTTCTTTTTATGTGGGTTGCTAAAGCTAATAAAAAGAAAACCCAAGTTCATCTTTGTTGGATTGGGATTCATTTTTCTTAAAAGGGATATTAGTTTGGTTATGATAAAGGACGTTCGCCAGAAATTTATTAAAAAAAAACAAAAAAGGACGTTTGAATTGAACCTATTATTTAGAAGTTGAATAAATCAACAATTGATATGAGAAAAAAAAACACATCGGACTTTGAGTCAACGACAGAAGTAAATAGAATGGTGAACAAATTTAATCCTAATTTAGTTTTAGAAAAGAAAGAGAGTATTATTCTCTTATTTATTGCTAGTGCCCTATTGACTTGCCTAGTGGTTAAGCAACTACTGACTTGCCTAGTGGTTAAGCAATCTCTAATCCCATATTTAAAGCTCAATTATTGGTGTTAATTATTTATTTATCTAAATGTTAATAAAAGGTAAGCAATTGGGCATATAGGGTTTGGGCCTGACGAGACGACGGTCTCTTAGACTCAATTGACCCCAAAATGAAGTAAAAGAAAAGTCTTGACCCAAACCCAAAATCCACGTTAGAATTTGGGTCAAGCTGCCACCACCCCTAAACACAAGGGAGGGGTAAAATAGGAACATGGATTATCCCTGTAAGAGTGGCGGTGGTAGTAAAAGCATAGAACCAATTAATTTAGTAGGTAAGTGAGAATCAAGTAAAAAGAAAGGAATATAGAAAGACGGAGCAAGGGCTGCAGTCCAAACACTCCAACCCAAAATTCTCTATAGGGAGATACTACTTGAGAAGAAGAGATCAATCTCAAGAAGAGAGGAACCCAATCCAATCCATCAATCAAAACCAGGGGATTTTGATTTTGAATTTTGAATTTTGGTGTTTTCAACGGTTTTCAATAATCGATCATCTTCCTCGTCGTTCTTGACTGAGCAGTGACCCGTCAGATCTCGAGTATTTGGAGAGCGCCAATGCGTGGGGATGTGAGCGGAAGCAACATGGCGGCGTCGACGTCGATGGGTAAGGCGGAGACGCAGTACGAGAAGGCGAAGACGTCGGTGTGGTGGGACATAGAGAACTGCCAGGTCCCCAAGGTCTGCGACACCCACGCCATCGCCCAGAACATTAGTTCTGCTCTCGTCAAGATGAATTACTGTGGGCCCGTCTCCATCTCCGCCTACGGCGACACCAATCGCATCCCTGCTTCTGTTCAGCACGCGCTCTCCAGCACAGGCATCGCCCTCAACCACGTACCCGCTGGTAAAAATAATTAATTTTTATTTTTTTTGTTTATTTTTATGTTTGATCTTCATCGGGCCCTAAATTGGAACCCTAGTAAACAGATTGCCCCTACTGTTTTTTGTTATTGTTTTGCTTGGCCTGCTTATGTTTTTAACTTTTGCGATTAGTTAATATCAAGGGTTGATTTTCTTTTCTTTAATTTTTTAATTCAAATAATTGTATGATGAGTCAAGTTGAGTCTATTGAACTCTAATTTGATGGTATGATTTATTTATTTTTTTTAAAGGAAGCTTACTTTGATATTGATTTTAGTTAATCTTGACTATTGTTACTTAAAAGTAGCAAGTGAATCAACATGGTGCTATTTTTGGGTAATTCATAAATTCATTCAGCAACTTCTTGTTTTGTTCATGCCTAAATTGTTCAACATGTTTTCCATCCTAGATTGACGATATATCGCCATATTTTCATTCTTCTTTTTCTTTTTCTTCTGTTGTGATAATTGATGTTTGTAATTCATTCTCTGTTTGCTTTGTCCCCCCAAACTCTGTATATTCTTTTCTTTCCCTATCATCATGATCTTCATTGACAGTTCATGGTCTGAAACAGGTGTGAAAGATGCAAGTGACAAGAAGATTCTAGTTGATATGCTGTTCTGGGCAGTAGATAACCCTGCTCCAGCCAACTACCTGCTTATTTCTGGAGACAGGGATTTCTCCAATGCTCTACACCAGTTGCGCATGAGAAGATATAATATCCTTCTGGCACAACCACAAAAAGCTTCCGCACCCCTCATAGCTGCAGCAAAGAGTGTATGGCTTTGGACGAGCCTCTCAGCTGGAGGACCCCCACTTTCAAGTGGGGAGTCATCTCAGCTTGCAAATGGTAACCATTCTTATAACCCTGAAATGCCGCAGTACTCGATGCCTGAAGCGTTCCAGATAAAACCGCCGCCAGTTTATTATGAACAGCCTTCTATGGGAAATCAAAAGCCTTCTACCAATGGAAGGGTTGGTGATACTAAAAATAAAGGGAAATCAAATCGGAAAAACCCAAATCAACCCAACATATCAAGAACCTCAAGTGTGCCAGTTGGGAACCAAGATGACAAGAATAATGATTTCCCTTACCAATCAGAACATACACAGGCAAAGCAGTTTAAGAAAGCTCCACACGAATTCTTTGGTGTTAGTGAGAATCTAGTCTCCACTAATAGGTCTACTCCCAATTTCTTCCCTGGAAATTCTGATCCTTCAGGCGGTAATGGCAATAATTTCCTAGGTCAGCAAAACCAATATCCTCCTCCTCCGAGGCTGAACAACTTCCACATTCAACCTAATGTTGGACTGGATACTATGTTCCCTCCTAATTCTCAAAGTCATGGTTTTCGACCTATTCCTCCCAGACCTGATGTCCTTAGATTTTCTTCAGCCCCACCTATAAATATGCCTGATATGAGTAAGCTAAATGTCTCCGAGTACAGCCATTATGCTCAAAATTCACAAAGGTTTCCCCACCGAAATGGAGACGAGTTTAGTCGACCCAGGTCTAGCGAGTCACTAAATTCAGCTAGCCCATATGCACCTCATAAAGGCCATAATTTGCAGAGTGGCCAGGGGTTTCATCATGATTCTATGAACAACAGGTATCCTCGGGGTTCTGATTATCTGCCCTCTCAATCCTCCCCTGCTGTTGCAAACAACGTTCCTAGTAATGGCATTTGGGGAACTCAAGGCTGCACACCATCGGAATACGTTCAAGGCCTTATTGGCGTTATTTTACTAGCCCTAAACACCTTGAAAGTTGAAAAAATTATGCCTACTGAAGCAAACATTACCGATTGCATTCGTTATGGTGATCTGAAACACCGCAATACTGATGTAAGGAAGGCCTTGGATTACGCAATAGAGCAACATATGGTAGTGAAGCAGAGCCTTGGTGCACTTCAGTTGTATGTTGGTAAAAATGAGCAATTATGGAAGTGTGTGAACCCTATAGGTGGTAATCTTAATCAGTACCCTAAAGCCACATGGGATCAGATACAGAACTTTCTGAGTTCCTCAGATGGACGATCAGCAATAATGGCTTCTCAATGCAGGTAAGTGTTAATGATAGATTCTTAGTCAGATGCTTATGGTTCCTGGAATGTCGAGTTTTGACTATGGTTTTGTTCTCTGCAGATATCATGCTCAGAAGGGCTTGCCTTGGGCAATGTACTTCAGATCTTGAATATGATAGTCAGCATGAAGAAATGGATCACTCATCATCAGTCAGGATGGCAACCGATTTCTATTACCCTTGAAGAGACTAAAGCGGCAATAGGTGCCGAACCTGGTACTTGATTTAGTCAACAACTCCCTAAATAGTGATAAAGTGGCTCTAAGATGGTTAAATTAGAGCTGCAAGAATATTATCAGTTTATTGAGACCTTGATCAACTGTGTTTACTTCTGAAACAAAATACAGTTATTAGAGTATCTAAAGAACTAAGGGGGGTGGAAACCTTTACATTTTGAACCAATTTAGTAGGACTAGGTGTCTTTTCCTCAATTTTTTTTTTTCTGTTTTTTTTTCCCCCCTCTTCTTTCATACTCTATGGGGTACTCAATGAGCTTCTAAAGAATGGGTAAAAATGCTGCTAATGGAATATACGTATTAGACAATTAGAAGCTACCTATTTTACGAAGTTGATTGTGCCTGCATTATTGTGAGGCTTTTTGTCCGTTACAAAATCAATGGATCATTCTGCCCAAAGCCGTGCTTCTGAGTAAGGAAGAATGTCAGGAATGGAATCAGGAAGTGGCAGTTGAATGTGCAGGCAAGATTATGTAGGTTCTTTACAAGGTTCAGCATCTTCTACCTGGATCAGGGCTTACGTGATTATATCTTGCAGACTTTATTATTCAACTGCCATGCAGGTGAGCTCTATTGATGACTAGCATAATCAGGTATCTGAGACCTAGTTGATCGAGTGTTATGTTGGTTAATTGATGAGAAGAAAGTTTGCAGACGAAAAAGCTTGAAGCAACTTCATAGGCATTGAAGCAGCATTTTGACGTGTATATTCATTTAAAGAAAGTATCTTGATGGGACTGCATTTGTGGTTCAGGAGGCTGCCAAGGTAAAGCTATCCTACAATTACAGGCCTTTAGGCATGCATGCGATTTCTGGAACCTGGTGTGGCTATAATAGTATACATGCTTGGATGTTGCAAGTAAATTTTTATGTATCGTATTTGACACTGTTTGTTTTATTCATCCTTTTATATTTGTTGTCTGCAACTCAGGCTTCGTTAGTGGGTTCAGTTTGGCTCGGTCCTGGAACTCACCTAGGAAGCGTGCTGAATAAACTTTTGTATTCTGTTCTCAACTTTGTAATTTGGAAAATTCTATGTAGTTTTTTGAATTCCAAAGCTCCTTGGTTTTCCTGATTTCCACCAATTCAGGTTACCTGCAGATTTGTGGTAGCGATGTTTTTGGGTCTGTTCAAGGTGACCCCTGCAGCGTGGGTATGAGGTGCAATCAAATGCATGCGGTGGATTGAACAGTCCTCTTGCAAATTACAATTTGACACATATGATAAATGACTCAGAAATGGTTGCTTCCAAAGAAAAGGACCGAATATATTCCTTTCCTTTTCACTTTTTATTTACATATGTATCAAATTAAGGAGGTCGTAATGTTGGCATATCAAATAATGTGTGCATATCGTCAACAGCCTCTGGAAGGTTTTCTTTTATCAGCCACACGAACCAACCTCGCGTCGTGCGGCTCTGAACCCTTTTTGTGACCATTCATTCGGACAAGCTATCTGGCGGGCCCCTCCTCACTGGGGGAGGATTCCTTAACTTGGTTTTACATACTGGATCAAACTTGAAAACAATATTGACCAACTGATGAGATGGACTCACCATTTATTCATTTTTACGCCTTCAGTTATTTTTTTCATCTTTTCGTCGTTAAATATAAAAAAAATATGTTTCCAAAGCAAAATAGGTTTTGACCCCCCTAAATTAATGTGAATGTCATTTCTTATGCCACCGGCCACATTGTCAATATCATTTCTTACGGCACGCATTTGGCATAAGAAATGACAACTACTATGTTTGACACACAACAAACACAACAAACAAACTGGTGCAATGCATTGGTGATTGCCGGTGATGGTTTAGAGACAAGACATGCCAAAAAATAGGAATAACATTAGTTCTAGTACATTAATTGCCTTGCGTTGTGTTGGAAATTGGAATTGCCCCAAACCAACATATCTATCCCCGCGACTGCCACCCAAAAGCCGGTCAACCATGCAAACTTAACCTCCATTCAGTTGCATGCACACCTAATTTGGGTAAATCGTTGCACTATATTACCCATGCACACCCTACCTCGTTTCTCCGTAGACAGAAAAGAAAAAATAATTAATTAATTAGGATTATTCCCTCCTCTCATCTCCTCTCTCAATAGTTCTCTCTCCGATCCGCCGCCTCATGTTTTAGTTCCCGAGCTGTCGCTTTAGGGAATAAGCGGTTCGGAGGGACATCAAAAGGTAAAGAAAACGGAAGCCAAAAAAAAAGATAAAGCATGGCACTTAATAAGAAAGTAGTTGTATCAGGGATTTCTCTGATACTTGTAGTGGGCGCGGTCATCGGAGCCGTGGTGGCCATCGTCCACTACAATAAGAAACCTAGAGGCGAGTCCTTAACAGCGCAGCAAAAGATGGTGACCCAAATCTGTAACTACACCGACTTTCAAGCGGAATGCCAGAGGAGCCTCGGCCCCGTCGCACAAAACAACAGTGCCGACTACAAGGACTACGTCAAGGCCGCGCTGCTGTCCATCTCCGAGGAGGCCAAGAAGGCCTTGAACATGTCTGAGTCGCTCTTGGTCGAGGCCCGAAACGGCACCAGCTCCAAGAAGTCACTCGAGGAGTGCAAGGAGATGTTGAAGGAAGCCGTGGCGGAGCTGCAGGCCGTGTTCTCGTATGTGGGCGATGCCGACTTGCACACCATGGAGGACCGCGTGATGGAGCTCAAGGCCTGGCTTGGAAGCGTCATCAGTTACTCCACCACGTGCCTTGACATCATTGGAGACGACGACAACAAGGTTTTTGAGGCGTTGAAAGATCCCATCGGCAATGCCTCCGCCATCACCGACAACGCTCTGGCTATCGTGGGTGAGATCGGCAGCATCCTCGGACTGTTCGGCGTGAAGGTAAACGACAAGGCCTTGGGAAATCTCGGCACTCAACGCCGACTTTTGGAAGACGAGCTCAGCAGCGACGGGAGGTCCCCGAGCTGGTTCTCAGCCTCCGACCGCAAGCTGATGGCGTTTCAAGACAACGGAAGGCTGAGGCCTCACGCCGTCGTGGCCAAGGACGGAAGCGGGAAGTACAGCAGCATTAACGCGGCGCTTAAAGCGTACCCGTACGGACAACAAGGTCGGTACATTATCTACGTGAAGGCGGGAGTGTACCAGGAGTATGTTACGGTGGAAAAGAAAATGACCAACGTATACATGTACGGCGATGGGCCCAGGGCCACCCTGATCACCGGACGAAAGAGCGAAGCAGGAACAGGAGACAAAATCTCCACCAGCGGTACATTCCAAGTGTTTGGGGCCGGCTTCATTGGGAGGTCCATGGGGTTCAGCAACACGGCGGGTCCCGAGGGAAGACCCGCCGTTGCTCTGCGTACAGTTGGTGACCAAATCGCCCTCTTCAACTGCAGGATCAGCGGGTACCAAGACACCTTGTACATGCAGGCGGGACGGCAGTTCTTCCGCAACTGCGTCATCTCAGGACACGTGGACTACATCTTCGGGGACGCTCGGGCATTCATTCAGAACTCGATGATCATTGTGAGGAAGTCGTCGATCCCGGAGCAGAACCAAGTGTTCATCACAGCTCCCGGCAGGCAGTACTCTCACGAAATCGGTGCGATCATCATCCACAACTCGAGGATCGTGCCGGAGCAGAAGCTTCTGCCGACAAGGTTCCAAGTGAGGACATACTTGGGGAGGCCGTGGAAGCCGTACGCCAGGGTTGTGTTCATGGAGAGCACTTTGGCAGACTTCATCAGGCCCGAAGGTTACAGCGCTTGGGACGGGAAGGCAGGGAACACGGAGCACGCCTTCTTCGGAGAGTACAAGAACCGCGGGCCAGGTGCCAACCTTGCCAAGAGAGCCAAGTGGAACGGTGGCTTCTACGGTGAAATGGACAGGGCTACCGCAGAGAAGTTCACTGCTGGGCCAGCGCTGTTGGCTGATCGCTGGTTGAAGTTCGCTAACATTCCTTACATCCCAAGCTTCATCCATGCTGACGCCTAATCTAAAAAAGGGTATTTTATTAATTAGCTAATTAATTAATGGGATGGGCTAATTGAGTCTAGAGAGAGAAGAAGAGATCGAGTACGCGCATATACATACATATACATAGGTATATATCTATGTAGCGCAGCGCTAGCTCTCTCCATATATGTGTATGTGTATGTATGTATGTACATATCGATCTTAATTAAATTAATTTATTGACGTGTGCATCTTGCATTGCTTATGCATGCATACAGAAATCAATGAAAGTTGATCAAATGATTCAAGGCGAAAGCTTGAACAACATGTTCAATGGAATTGATCAAGAGCAGCAAGGCTTTTGGCTATGTTCCCAGCAGCACCATTTTCATTAACTGAATCAACCCCCTGCAGATTATTCTCGAGCAATTATCTCTATCTGAAAACATAAAAGGAGACATAAAACAGAACAGAAACAGAGCAGCGACAAAAAATCCAGCGAACTCTATATGAAAACATAGCCGAACTACTAACAAGACACTTAATTCCTAAAGTTGATGATCCTCAATTAAGTTCTCAGTTTAGGCGCATCAGCATTGTGTTGTATATCACATATCTCGATAGAGTTATCATCACCAAATTGTGTTGAACGGTGAACTCACTGCCAAATTGGTTGCCCTCTAACTCATAATTTGGGAAGAAACCTTGCTGCATTCCAGAAGTCTCAGAGCAAGCTGGAAGCTTGGAAGGCTAACTCTGTCTCTTGTTGGCAGTCAGTCTCATACATGTCACATCATCCAAAACCATCTTTTGCATCCAATCATGGTTTGCACTAGGTTGTGCTCATGCATAGTATAAATAAGAGCTGAAGCCATGTCTTCATCACTTAATTAGACTTCCATGTAATTCAAGTCAGTAAGTATCTTGTTGAACTCATTGATGTGACCCTCTTGCCATCATGAACTTCCAAAATCTCCTATTGAGACTTAAACGATTTGTGAGAGATTTCTGTTGGTAAAGCCTCTGAAGCTTCGCCATTATACCCTTCGTGGTAGTCTCTCATTTTGAACTGTATGCCTAAAATTCTCTCATCACACACAACCGGATGGTAGAGCATGCCATCTCATCGAGTTCAACCCCATCTTCATTCTTCATACCATTAGATTGCAAACTCAAGTTTGAGTTTATAAGTTTCAGGTCGTGTTTGAGTTTTGTATATCAGCTTCAAATGATATGACATCACACCAACATGCTTAAAAAAAACACGACCGTTGCGAAGCAGTCTATATAGATGTAAATAGGCTAATAAAACCTCCTCGGCAAGTTTATGTGGACAAAGCACACTGACCCCAGGTTCCTGGAACACCTTATAATATAGTTGTTAGTTGTTGGTTTATTCTGTGAACGTAAAGACAAAACTTTGTGTTTTTTCGTTTTGTCTTGATATAGATGTACATATTATGCTTATTGGTTAAAGAATTCGATGAGTGATTTGTGTGATTTGCGTGGGACTTCTTGTTGGTTTATTTACATATATATATTATGCTTATTCGTTGAAATTTCCTCATCCAAACGCATTGTAATAGTGTACATAAGTTTTTGCAAGGAATAGTCAAGGAGAAAGAGAAACTTGTTAATGCTTACTCTGGATTGTTCTGGGGACAAGGATATTCAATTAGAGTGGGGTTTAGTTTTTGTTAATCCTTGATTCCTGGCAATTTAAGTTGAAAGAAATAAAGATTGCAAAATGACCTTTCACAACTTGATTTGATAAGTCACCCCCTTGTCATTCATTATCTTCTCTCCCTCATCCAAGACAGGGCTTGCCCCACACAAACAAGTGCTTTTCCTTATTATGTTATCTCTTAACCTAAACAAACATAAAGATAATAATCTCATCATTGGTTGTCTATTTTTCTAAACAGATCAACTCTAAGAGCTTTTTGAGTTGAAATGTGGACTTCCTTCCACATCATTTCTATATTTCTCTAATCCCTACAGTCTAGTTTTTTCTTTTCTTCCCCCAATTGAATTATGTAATAAGTTTATATAATATTGAAGGCCATGAGCAAACCCAAAAGATATGGTGCAAATGCAAATCCTCTGGGTCCAGAACTGTCTGGACTGAAGGGGACAGGTTAACATATTCAATCAGGAAATATGATTGATAAATAAAGAAACCTTCCTCCCTCCCACCGCATTTCATTAGAGTCTTTGATTAATCTCTCTTTACCTGCTTAGTTTTTGGGTATTTTCACCCATTAAAAAGTCATTGAAAGTGACCCAATTCTGGATTGTGAATGCATGGACATGTGGAAAGATGAGGCCTTCCTTCATCCCAACCACACAAGTCTCTATCTTTTATTGCAAGGTAGAAAGAAACGTAGGCAATTGAAATAATATCTCAATTGGCTGTTGAGGAGATGGATCAAAGCTTTTTCATTATTGGTTAATAAAAATTCTAAGACTGAGTAATAAAATTATAGTGATGTCTAACACCAATTGGAATCCAGGGCTAGAATTGGGAACCCAAAACAAGGGAATAAAAAATATATTGAGATTCTTGATCTTGCAAGATATGGTTAGTGAAGTATTACTTTTTGTCAGTTTTTGATAATTGGTTTTCCAGTTTTGGCCCAAAAAGATTAAAAACTTGTGTTGTTATTATGTGTCAAGAGTTTATATATATAGAGAATATATTACTTATTTTTTATATTTCATTGGATCATGGTTTAGATCTGAGTTAAGGAGGGACAATATTCCCTGACACAAAGCCCCTCCTATAAAACAGACTCGGAATTTTACGAAGGTTTGTTGCCCACACCACATAACTGACACAACCACAAGAATAGGTGGTCAAGAGAAAGTGAGACAAACAAGGTATCAGAAAAGAATCTTACCCCATTTGTTGGGTTTGGTGATCCTTGTTTTCCTCAAATTGATCAAAAGAGTGTGATCTGGTTCTTTCTTCTCTGCTCTGTTCTGCTGCTCTGCTGACATGGACATCATGGACATGAATGTTTTTCCTAAGTTGCTGTGTGGATGGAGTTGGGAGGAGAACAAGTTGTTTGAGCTGGCTTTGGCTGTGGTTGATGAGGAAGACCCACAGCGCTGGGAAGTAGTTGCAGCCCTGCTTGGAGGCAACAAAAGCGCAGAGGATGTACAGAAACATTATGTGATCCTTTTGGAGGATTTGCAGGTTATAGAATCTGGTAAATTGGATCACAAACTGGGACAGCCGCAGAATTATGTTCAAGTGGTGGATCATTGCACTCAATCCGTTTGCTGGACTGACGAAAACAACAAGTATGTGAATGAAATTCAACAGCTTTTGAGAGTCATTGATTGCTTTGCCTTTACCTTTGCCTTTGTTGCATTCTTTTCTTCGTTTATTGTTCATATTGACCTCCTGATTAATGATTATGTATTTAGTTATCTTGAGCTCAATTTGTTTCTTGAAATCTTGTGGCTTTATAAATCTTAATTAGATTCTTGTTTATCCAGTTCCATGGTATATTTAAGTTTTTCTGACTTTTGGAAAAATGTTTTGTGACAGTTTGCTGGTTCAGTTGGACTTAAATTAAAGCTGCTGGTGATTGCAAGTGTAACTACAGCAGTTTCAAAGATCTGTCGGCAGCTTGTAAAATTCAAGCCAGATGGATTGACCCTCCAAAACTCTAAATACTGCACTCTTTCTGACTCATGTCATATAATGTATAAGCCCTCACTCAATTTGTAGCTCCTTCTAATTTGCATCTTTAGAAATTTTAAAGAATTTTATACCGGTGAACTTCTTTGCCTTTAATGAGATTTTAACACACACAAAAAAGATTTAAGGAACATTACATGACAATTCTTACTTACAATCTGCTCTTGTTCACATACATAGACTTCCTTTCAGAGACAACATTGTACAATCAATCAATGAAAAGAAGAACACAGCCAGATCCAGATGGGTGACTAGAAGAAACCATATTGATTTGATTGAGACAAAGGAAACAGAGAAACTTATTTTATTCAAAAACCACAGTTGTGCTGTGTCTTTTGGCATTGTTACACTGCACAGCCCATATTTAACCTACATTTAACCTTAACATGAGGTAGAAATGAAAGAAATAAAGAAATTAAGGGTGTGGGGGTGAGTAAATTAAGAGGAGGAGAAAAGGAAGATTGAGGACGGCAGCCAGGGAAGAGGCAGTGCATGAGTAGAGTCACAACAGCTCTGTTTTTCTGTTGGGAACTCCATCCATGCTCTACCTGTTCCCTGTCTTATCAGTCTCTTTCCCATTTTCTCCACCCCACTATATTACTTTTGATATGTAATTAATAGGATGATTTACCTCTTGTTGGCTTTTTGCACACACCTCATCCATCAGCTCCTCTAGTTTCAATTGTCACCAGCCACCCACCAGTCTGCCCTTCCCTAACCCTTGCTGGCCTTTCTGTGTATTTATTTGTACAACAAAGGCCATTTTAAATCGTACTCACATGTACTACCCAAATCCAATATTCCATTGACCAAGATGACTATGCATGTACTACCTCTTCTTCTGTCTGTGTACTAAATAACCGGGGAGAGAGAGAGAGAGAGAGAGAGAGAGAGAGTGTGTGAGGAGCTTTAAAAAGGATGAAGAAGAATGTACAAGATACAGATGAGAAGATGTACTGCACTCTTCTTGTTGTAGTAGTACTTACCCACAACCTCCTCATCAATAATGGATTGTGCTGATTATTATTACCAAAAAGGAAAACAATTATTATTAAAAAAAATTATTCATTGGAACAAATTAATTTCTTCAAGTTCTCTTGGGGAATTTTTGTTTCTTCTTGTTATGGGAACTAACTCATTTACAAATTAAATTAAATTAGAAATGAAAAGTTGAATTAATGTCTATTTTTCAATAATGATTCTCTTCTCACACACAACAGACAACAGTAGGTACCTATTTGAATTATGAAATATGTGAAAAGGAAAAAGAGATAATGGTGGGGTGGCAGGCAGCCAGCAACATGCGACGATCAGGCTACCTTGATCACCAAACAAGCATGACTAAACTCCAACACCACCAAATACTTGCTACTCGGTCCTACACGAGTTTTACTTTGTTTCCTTATTTCTATTTCAAATTGTTTGACTATAAATGACTTGCAGGGCTTGTTACCTATTTCACTTGCGCATAGGACATGGACAAATTGACGAAGAGTGACAATTTGAGTCTTGGTTAAGTAGCTTAGATGGTGCACAGAACAACAGGGCAAATGATAATTCGCCCAGCAGCAAGTTTTTGTTGCATACAGAAACATTACATAGCCGATTAAGAACATTATGGACCCCGATCCTTTCCTAAGAGGCTAATTTATGCAAAAATCCCACCAGGCTAGGAATAGTTTCTTTGAAAAGCTCACAAAACATCAGGGTCCGTAAAACTGTGTGACAAGAAAGTTGACAAGCGCCTATTAAACTAATTTAATGCGAGGCTCCTCTTGACTAAAGACTAATGGCACCAACAGCAATGTAAATTAACTCCCTAATTCCTCCAAACACAAGGGATAAAAGACCCTATGATGATAGACGCATAGTATCTCTACAGAACAAACTTAACCAAAATTCTTACATCATTCAGATTCTGTATCCACAATATCCGGAAATGAATCCTCATCTGAATCATTACCCGTTTCAAATGCAACTCCCTTGCTCTTCTCAGGATTTGGAGTGGTAGCGAAGTTGCCTCCGCCAAGAGACTCATCGCCTTTAGCCACCAGAACATCGACCGTATTACCTCTTTGATCTGATGGACCACTTTCCATATCAACCCTCCCAAACACTTCTTCAGTAATAGCAGTTCCAACAACTGAGACAACCTTTGGAGACACGATATCCTGAAATTGCCCTATGGATTCTTTCAATTTGTGGGATTCAACCATATTTTCATCCCTATTGCCTCTCATCTCCACATCCTCCATGGTTGCTGCGAGGTCCTGCACACTTCCTGCTAGAGTCTCTTTACTAAATGACCCATCTACAGAGAGCGTTTTATCCTGAATAACTGTTACAGTTTTTGATGGCTCTTCCGCCTGCATAGTCTTTCCTAGGTCACTCACTGGTGCTTCCATTTCTTTACTACTTGCAAGCCAGCTATCATATAGGTCATCATGATCAGAGTCAGCAGCATCATGCATCATTCCTTGTATGTCACCTGAAAATGGGGTTGAGGGTCTTAGGCTACCAGAGTACATATTTTCTGGGAGTTTGTAGCGAACTCTATCAGACAGGAGAGTTGTGTCAGTGAAATCTGCCAGCGGGAGGGCCCTGGGATGTATAAGCACCTCTAAGGCCAAAAGAGCATGAGCACAAAATTCAGCAAGCTTGGTTCCAGTTTCTTGTTTACCTGCAGAAACCACTTTCATGTGGTTAAAATAATTGAGGAATACGAGTGCAAGAAAAAAGACAATTCTAATTGAAGAAAAACCTATTTTACACAGTTAATTTTATTTCAGATTGTGTCTATTGTTTTTCAAAATGATGCCCTGTGCTTGTCTTTGAATTTTAATTTGTAGATTCAAACCAAAGTCAGTCTCTTACTCCTTGGTAGTTTTCCCTTAGGAGTAGTTAAGTATTATTAAAGAGGTGTAATTCCTTCCTGCACATCAGTAATTAGGTTGTAATAAAGGTGAAGAGTCCACCATAAGTTAAGTTCAGGGCATACTCGTGATCTTTCCATACATGCTTATTTCTTGCTGTTGATACTTTGACAAGATAATCAAATGAAACGAGAGAGATTCCACATATTCCAGAAGGAATTACCTCTACGGAAAAGATCAAGACCTTCAGCTAAATAAGGGGGGCGGACACAAGATGAAGAAAGGAAAGATGCCAAAAGTGCACGTAGTGCAGCAAGCTGCATACCACCCCCAATATCACCAGGTTCATTGAGTTGGTAAATGTTTCCGTTCTCACCACCCCATGCCCCTTTCAGAGAATTAGTAGCTATGTTTATCAGAAGAAGATCAACATCTGATCGCCATCCTTCAGATTTCAACGCACCACCCTGTGAAAAAGAAATAAAACATCCCTGTCACTCATCAGTAATGCTTTGATGTCAGAAAAAGTTATCCACAAAGATGACAAATTCTACCTACATAAGTAGATTGCGAACACCTGAACTTTGAAAGATACACTCTTGTTCTATTAGGACACAGGAAAGACAAAACTTGACCACTTACAATATATTTTATGGACAAAGAATTTAAAAATGGACCCAGAAAAATAAGCATGGTGATTGATTAAAAAGTTGCAAAGTTTCAGGTACATTTTCACCTTTTTTATTTATTTTTATTTTTAACTTTGTTTATGAACCAAGGCCATAATGATTACAATATAGACCTACAATTCCCTACATCCTCAATGGCACTTTTTCAACTAAGGGCATTTATTAGAATTATATGAGGGAGCACACAATATGAAACAGCGAGAGGAAGGGGGGGGGTGTGGAGAGAGAGAGAGAGAGAGAGAGAGAGAGAGAGAGAGAGAGAGAAAACTGTGTAACTTTTCACATAATCTCTTTGACTTTGTTTTAACCTTGATCAAATTAATCACAATAACACTCATAATTTTAAAAAAAAAATACCAACAGTGTAACCATATTGTTTTCTTATGATTCTCTTGATGGTAATCTTATTGAAGTCATGTTCTGGTTAATGTGGAACTTCTGACCTTGAGTAAATAAAATATAAGCAAGCACCAATGGATTACTCGAACCATCGTGAATAGATAATTTCCAGCGTGTATTTAACTATTGGAGTTGCCATGATTGATGCATATACTATTTGTTAGTGTGATGAATACAGATTTATATAACATTTTTGGGTCTGTTCTCTAACAGATTTAGCTTCAGAAATTGACAATAACTTACAAGCTATAAACTAATATGGTTCTTGGACATGTTCATCCACCACTTTATAGCCAACCTGATACCACTCTAAATTACTTCAGGTTTGTCGAGAAATTCATGAAGAAATGAGGATGCTGTTAAAGTTTCTAAAAAAACTATTGGGAATGAATTCAGGTGCAGCATTTAATATTAGTGGATTGAAAATTTCAATGTGGTAAACAAATTGAAGGTCGACACAAAGATGTTATGTGTGCAAGGAACTTGTGCATAAGAAACTGAAGCAAATAGAATTTTCAAAATATATGATTCCATGGGACAAAAGAATCCAACATCTAAAGATCAACTTGAGGGAGAGTTTTTCTTGACGGATCCCTGCCAAACATTTATGGCATATAAAGTCAAGAAGTCTGATTTCTTGTAGAATAATAATTTGGATGTGTGAATACTAAGAAGTGACCTTCTGAGAATGATTAGAAAAGTTATTGGTAGGTAAACTATATGAAGGGCAGAACCCATAGGCTATACAGTTCACAAATAAAATATCGTCTTTAATCAAAGTATTGGTTGTTCTCATAGCATAAAAGGCTTTAGAGTTTCCTTTAGAAATCTAGGATCCTACAGTTAGTCTTCTACTTACTGTGTAAAAGGGACTCTACTGTTCTATATTTACATTCATTACTTACAGCAACCTGATCAAAGACAATGAGGATAAACATTCTACGATGCAGAAAAATGCACCGAACCAACACTGTACAGAGCAAAGGAGTGCACGTACCACAGTGAGAAGAGCTTCTAACGCCTCAAGTGCAGCGATTTTAAGAGCAATTGGAGATGTTGTATGGTTCTTGGGGGTTCCCTCTTCCAATCTACTAGTGTTATGCCACTCAAGAGATCCGCTTGAAGCTCCATGCTTCCTCTTTCTATGGCTATGATGTGGTGTTTGAAGCAATGCTTCAGCAGAAGGCTTTGAGTTTCCACCAGAAGATGCACCACCGCTCTCTTTGGCAATGGGATTTAGATCAATAAATGCGCTGTTAACAACTTCCTGAGCAAGGCATACTGCCATACCTGATAAGCATATAAACCAAATAAAGGGTAACATGAGAAAACTTTATGCAATCATAAACAATTGTTATCTTAATTACATGGGGAGCACGCATTGGAGCATCAGAAGGGCAGTAAAGAACACAGTTGAAGGGTGGTTCAGATACAAATTATCAGAAAGCTAATACATATAGAACTATATGTGCGGACACATACATCGGTTTGTACCACATGAAGTAGCTAAGATTTATATGAAGAGGCAACGCATCTGCTTTGTTTCTAGTTTTTTTCTCAAAGGAATCACTTTGTTTTGTAATAAGGCTGTGTACATTAGTTCCTTTCTAAAGGGATTAGGCTCTCTGGTCTGGTCAACACATGACATCCCTGTCTTTGCAATGTGGCGCTATTATCTAACAGGAAGGTTTCTTTTCAGCAGGACCAAAATTAGATTACAATAATTTTTCTGAAATTACTGCATACCGACGCCCATGGATATCAGCAAAATCCTTGTGATTGAGTAGACCTTTATTCTCAATTCTGGCAATGCACATCTCTTTAAATACACTGAAAGCAGACGCACTAAATATGCAGCATGTGGTAAAAGTTGACTGCAAGGAAGATAATAAGATAGTCAGAAAGCTAACATTCTAGGAAGTCAAGA